ATGATACCGTGCAATCAGTCGACCTTATCGCCTGAAGAAGACTAGCAGTAAGCAGTCGAAACGTCGTGATCTACATCTCAAGTGACTACATCGTGAGACAAACGATAATACATTTTATTATTAATCAAGATTTTATTTACAGTTTTTATTATATGGGAAATATCAAGAAAATCTGGTTGAAGGATGCAGCTTGCTTTCGCATTTTCAAACATGAGTTGAACCAGCAAAGTGATGTCTTACTCGAAACATTATTTCTGAAGCCCAAAATTAGGATCTGCTGATGCACGTTCGGTTTCATTTACGTTTTGATGGACATCGTAAATACTTTGTAGAACATCAAAACAACAGCTCATGGAATTCAACATACCGATCGAAAAATTTTAAGCTCATCAAATATGCATCCGTTCAATACTTTTTCTTTGGCAGGTGTCGAGAATTCCTTTGGCACCGTGCCAGTGGACATTGAGTGTACATTGAGCTGCTGAGCCCTACCAAGGCTATCTTTGGTTAACTTTTAAGCTTTTCTTTGTATTAAGCCAATTTTTAAACCGTCTAGCAACAACTGAAACAAACAAATTACATTTGTGGGTTTAATTAGGCCAATATTACTTAATTTTTTTAAAAATATCTTGACCCGTCAGAAATGAGATGCAACCGAACTAAAATTACCTTGGCCAGTCAACACGACCAGCCACAGTCCAAAACTTATTTTGAGCCCTGGCATGCAACAGAAAATGAAATCAGTTTGCACCCTTATACTTATACTGTCCAATAAAATAATGGTACCGTATGGTTAAAAATGGAATTGAAAAAGGCACTGGACGGGTACATTACTATTACTGTACTAAGTTCTACAAACCAATGTACATCTTCTGAATACCAGGTTAATAAGACTCTTGAAGTACTGTTGATGTTACTAACCTTGTGTGTTTAGATAGTAATGTCTCCAAAGTGGACGGAGTTTCTGCAGGCCTCCAACATCCCAAAGAGTAAACTTAAGGCTGCGATGTTCAACAGTCTCCACATTAAAACCTGACCAAACAAAAAAATGAACTTAACTGGACAGTATGTTTAAATACACTGCATTTGTTTAAGGGTTTTTAGGGTTTCTGCTATGGGAGAAAACCAAAATTCCTTAAATTTTCATGGACCACAAATCAATGTTACTGTCCACATTTTCTCCTAATTATAAATAATATATAATATATAAAACCAAGAGCAGCAGCACCAATTTAAAATAAAATTCCATAATATCCCCCAACTTGCAGTATAACAAAAACAAGAAAAGAAAAGAGAGTTACCAATGGTTGTGATAGGTGAAACAAACTCATCCTGTTTCATTTTAAATAAAATTGAAGTCTTTCCAGCCCCATCAAGTCCCAAAGCAACAACTCTCATCTCCATTTTAGGCCCTATATGTACTCTGTTGTCTTTTGTGAAGGCCACAGGGATAGCAGCATCTGTATCACACAGGCTAGCAATGTTGGTAAACTGTTCCTGTTGCTCCTGTACTGTTTCCAAGAGACTGTGGATGCTGTTTCTGGCTTCTATCACCTACAGAGACAAAACATAAGAAAAAATGAAGTTTTACTGTTTCAGTTGAATGCTGAATAAACAGGCAACTGAACCAACAAATGAATTAATTAACCCACCAAAACAAACTATTGAACAAATAAACTAACAAGAAAAATAAACAAATGAAAGAAGAAATGATCAAAGAAAAAAACAATTGAACCAATGAGAAAATCAATCCATGTTAACTCTATTTGGTAAATACAACAAGACTTCATCATTTTCAGATGTACATTGCTAGCTAAGTTCTTGGACTAGCCGTCCATCACATTCACACTGAGGTAATCTGACATAAGGTTTTGTGGACGAAAATACCTAAGTTTATCTGCAGTAACCCAATGAGAATACTCATATCAGAAGACTACGAAAGAATCTTCTTAAAATACTGTCAGCACCTCGGTGACAAATGGCTGCAAGAATTTCCTGTTAGTCATAGCTGAGCAAACTCCTGACCCACCTCAGCATCACTCCTCTTCAGTGCCCTCTCACACTCCAAGCACACTGATGTCACTTGTGACATTAGCACAGCCATGTCTTCCTGTTGTTGTCTTAGTGACAGTAACTTCTCTCGCACATAATTGTTGACAACAGCAAGTCCAGCCTCTTCTTGCCTGTTGACTGTCTCTCGCAGATCATCAAAATATGCTCGCACTTTATTTCTAGCATCTTCCGCAGAACCAGAAATGTGGTGAGCAGTAAGAACACCCTGCCCTTCCTCTTGCATTACAATACCACCTACAGAGTAATTTAGACAGTGATGTCTTTTCTAAGTTCAAGTTCAAGTTCCCTGTATTTATCGCACTTTTAAGGGTGTGTTGCAAGAACTTAAAATAAAAAAATAAATAAAAACTTTATTTACCCTCAGCAGTGTTTATAGCATAAAGGCTAGTACAGTAGGGCCGAGCAAACAACTGAAACAAATAACTCAAATTGAACATAACATTGTTAAGAATCCCAACTGGCCAGAGGCAAACCAGTTGGCTATTTACTAGCTGGACGAGGATTTTTTAACTCGGGGTTATTTAGATGGGCTACTTAAATGGGCTAATTAAATGTAGATAAATAAGATGTTTAAAAATTCCAGTTATTATGTAGTTTTTCAAGAACTTTAAGTGAGGTTAAAAAAGAAATTAAACAATGCTTGTTCTTAATTTAGGGATAATTATTCATAAATTATTGCTTTAGAATGAAAATTAGCGATATGAAAAGTGAAGAACATTTCGATGACTCCATGTCATCATTATCAAGTTCAAAATACATGATAGAATTGAATAAATATAAATAGTAAAAATGATGTGAAAAGATTTAGGGAATCAAAAGGGTGTTAAAGTATTCAATTGTTGTGTAAAGAGTTTGGCGTGAACTGAATCTGTCTGCATGTTAAGTTTTCGTTTTATGTTCCTGATGAACAGCATTTTGTAGATCAAGTAGTCAAACTTTGTGCGGCATTTCTTTAAAACTGTGAATTGGTTGTAGATCTATTTTTTAGTTTAAGTTGTCCGCTAAGCTGCTTATACTATAACAAACTAACGCCATAAGGTGTAAACTTTTATTAACATTTGTTTAATTAATTAATTTAAATTAATCAATTAGCCTTGAAGGAAGGGGGCTAGCTGGGGCAGGTACCCAAATGCACTATGCAAAACGTGTCATACTTACGCTGGTTTCTTGAAAACATGATAAAGCTATAGAATTATATGTTTTCACAAATCTCTTGCTATCCTTGTGGTGCAAATCTCTTAAGAACAAAAGCAATTTGCTTGAAACGTATGCGCAAATAAGTTAGCCTTCAGTGTCGACCGCTAGTCCAGTTCTGGCCCTCTCTCTGTCATGCAATGCTACCATAGCACTACTTGACAGAGAGAGGGCCAGAACTGGAGCAGCTGTATTTCAGGTAATGTGGGCTCTCCCCTTTTTAGTGCAAATAATGCCACTGTAACTGCATATCTACTGGAATCACCCCTAGCTCGATTCAAGAAATTTCATCTGCTGTTTTATAACTACTGTGTGTTTGCCAAGGTTCAAAGAAAGAACGCTTCTCTTTAGCGGCTTGTTTATTTCCTCTTCTTTGAAGGGAGCAAAAACTTCATATTCAGCCGAAACTTTCCTGCGTTAGTTACATGTAAAGCTAGTGAATTTGTGACACAAGAAACTTCGCAATTATTGCTGCATACTCCATGGCACTTGATTAATTTCATCAGTCTTTGAGGTGACTCTCACCGATAAAGGATATAATTTGATCAAGTAACGATCTCTACTTTCAATACTTCTCGTTGAAACACTCCTCAGTTGTATTAATCGATTGCATTGTATATTAGTTTGACGTGAATAAGAATGAACTATTCATTGACTGGACGTGACCATTTGATAATTAGATTAGTTCTTGTTTATCTGTGAAATGAAAATTTGCGTTTGGAATAGAACAAAATCGTTCCTCTTTGATTTTTCATGAGATATTTAGCCTTATTCCATTTATCTCCAGCAGTAAGTAAAAAATACACCTCTTTCTTATATTTTCGAGGAAACAAGGGTATCGTGTTGCATAGCTTGGTGAGGAAAACAAAAGTATCAAGTTACATGTTGTCGTGAAGAGTAAAATTGTCTTCTCACACACCGCTGGGGGCCATGCCAAGCCAAACCACACAGCCTGACCTTTATTAACATAAGAACATAATAGTCTTACAATGACACAAAAAAGTGGCTAGAGAATAATTTCACCTCAACTTAACACATTCTACAAGTACTTCATGGGTGGGTGGGTGGGGCGTGTCAGGCAATGGCAGATGGCAAAACAAAAACTGAAACTTACACAAGCCATGTGACCTGAAACCCCCCGCACACCTGTACCCAGACTCCCAGCCGTGTGTGAGAAAAATGTTTTCTGCTTCTTTTGTTCCTCAGCCAACATAGAACCACACATATTTGCTACTTCTGTGTCTTATTAAATGTAAAATGGCCTAAACTCAGGGTATAACACCACAATAAAATTCAAAGCCGTCTTAACAAACGGTAATTGTAAGTTGTTTTTGGGCCTTGAAAGAAATATACAACATACACAATGTTAAGATTACATCTTATGAAGTTTTTGTCTGCTCATATCCTTCAAGAAGGAAAGGTCTAGTTGACTTCCAGGGGAGAGAATGGCATGGTTGAGGACCTATGTGACTACTGCATCAGAGCCCTAAATTGCACTCTGTACTATCTGAGATTGTCTCATTAGTTACTATTTATATTTATTCAATTCTGTCATGTATTTCGAACTTGATAATGATGACATGGAGTCATCGAAACGTCGTTCACTTTTCATATTGCTAATTTTCATTCTAAAGTGCTTTAGGAAAGTTTGTATAATCAGAAATTATTAATTGACTCAAATAAATCAGTAATTAATTTAAAATTGCAGACAATCTGGCTGAAAATAAAATAATTACAGGTCAATTATTATAATTTGCAGAAAAAAAAACACATTATTTTCATATTGCTTGAATCATTAAACAAACCTTCAATTGCCTCAATAACAGAGGACAGCCTCCCAGCTAATCCATCAACTTCGTCAGTGAAAGTCCGGACATGTTGTATAACATTAGTCACTGACTCACGCATGTTCTCTGCCTCCTTTTCCAGCAGAGTATGTTTATGTCCTTGATGTTTACCATAGTCACGACACACAAAGCACATCAATGAATTATCTTGACATTCTTCTTCTAAGCATGTAAACTCTATCACATGTGTTGAATGTTGTGCGCACTTGGGTTTCTCCTTTGGTCTCTCAGAAACAGGAATTCTTCTGTGTTTCTCAAGGGTTTTGGTTGAATGCGTGCTCTCTGCACAATCACTACACAAGTTAGTGTTACAGACAGTACAATAGATATTGGCTATATGTTCATCATTTTCATCACATCGTACAGTGTCATCCCTGCTCTCATTCTCACATTTCGTCAATGGTTCAGGTAATACCTGAAGTCTCTCAAGTAATTCCAACAATGCAAAGTTTTTCTTAAGACCCCAAACTCCTGAGTCACCCAGTTCTGTAGACTGTCTATCAAATGGACAGTAAAGTTGGCGTCCTTGCACAGGAAGGCGTGTCAGACAGTCATGACAAACTGTGTGTCCACACAATAACAACCTTGGAACTTTGTCACCCTGAAGTGCAAACACATCTTCACAGACACGACACTCTAACACCTGAAATTAATAAACAAATTCAAGGACTCATTCAGGGACTTTTCAAGGATCCAGCAATTTTCAAGGACTTTTAAAGTACCAGTATGATGAAATTCTCGATATTAATTTTTTTAAATTTTCGTACACAATAGGTCTCTCCTAGATATCTTGCCAAATTTCAATCTATTACAAACATTAGAACTCGCGGTTTTTGGACCTTTATTTCCGAGAATTTACGGCTGTCATTAATTTTCCTTGTTCCACGTCTTGGTTCAGAATTTGAGGAAATGATGTCCTTTTCTGAAAAATACCACACCGGCAGAGTTCACCGTAAGCTCCGGTGACCAGCGAAATTCGCCATCTAGTCATCCTTGGTGCACCGGCTACTTATAGTAAATAAATTATGAAAAAATTTTATTTGCAACAATGTGAGCCTATCCGTCAATAAAATCAAGCATAAAAACAATATGGCTAATTTTCTCAACAAATACGTAACGATTAAAAAATACAACTCTTATAGCTGTAAGATAAAGAAATCTGAAATCATTCGGGCCGTGAGAATTCCACTGGGCCGTGACAGCAGCACTGACATATTTGACAGCCAAGGTTAAGTTGAAGCTCAGTTTTTCCTCTGAAAATGAAGTGAAAAACCCAGCAATCGCTGTTCAGTACCAGAGATAAATTGAAAAGAAAATAGAAATGGCACAAACAAAGGTCATAAGTTGTTTTCTTTCAAAAATATAAAATTAGTCCTTTTATCTCCAGTCAATGTATGCGTAATTTAATTAGTTCTATAAACACAACGACACGCAACCCAGTCCTTAGCTCACACATGGAGGATTTTCGAGAACAAATAACTGCAAAGATTTCTTTCAACAAAAGAAACAAACTTTGCAAGATCTTACACAATCTTTAAACTCAGCAGCTGTAAGATGTTTGTGTAAATATTGAAAGTGAGATATAAAACTGGYGAGCTTATYGAGCAGGGAAGTATGAATAAATACATGCACTATTTCAAGGCTTCATTATAAAGTGAAACATTTGCAAAATATGTCAAGTTTAAGTTTGATTGTATTAATTTTATCACTTTTGAAATCATGAACGAAAAACCCAAACTACCGCAAAGGTTCAAAACGTTGATGATGGTCCGCACGCTTAATCAGAAAAAGTTCTGAGCTTACATCCGCGGGAAACTTCACCAAGTATTACAGGCTTGTGCTTGCAACGGTTACCAATCACAAGCTTCATCACCTTCAATGAATTCCACCCCTAGCACTGTGTTAAAGCCATTCAAAACTTGCCTCTTAACAAAATAAATGTCAAACCTCAATCTAGTACCTTCAATGCCAGCAAAACTCTTTTCTCGTTTGGCTTTCTCATCTGTTTTTACACGTGTGATTGACCACAAAATGAGAATGTTTTTGACGTTTTTGATATTTTTTTCAAATTTGATAGGGATGACGATGATTAACCTGTTCAACTAACACAATACATGACATGTATGTTTTTCTCGGTGAAACTGCTTTTCTTTAACAAAAGAACAAAACCATGATTGTTTAAAAAATACACTGAAAAGCACTTTTTAGAACCCCAATTTCAAAATTTTCCCAGGGGGCTCCCAGACCCCCCAATAAAAGGTTGCGGTTGCACCCCCCCCCCCTTCCATGTGGCTCTGATAAAATCACTCCATGTCTTTTTATCGGCATTATCCACCGCCTAGTCAAAGTTATTCTCACTCTACTTTTGAAATTATAATAACAGTTAATGTGGAAAATTGCACAAATATACGAGCCAAAGTTTTTGTTATTCTTTATGCGAATTGCTGTACTAATTGTGAACTGTATCAAAAGCAGTAAATTTTATTTTGTTTATTTTGTTTATCCTTCAAATATTTTTCGCAATATGTGCAGTTTTGAAAACTGGGAAATATCTGAACTTATAATCCATCAAATATTTTCACTTGCATGCAATTGGCCTAAACACGTCATGTGACCAAATATTCCCCAGCTAAAACTGGGGAATATCCAAGAATATTCCCAATTTTCAAAACTGCGTGTGTTGCGAAAAAGATTTGAAGAATTATAAACACAATAGCCTCCATTTGGCATGAAAATATGCTCAGGTATTTGTCCTTGGACATTATCTGTTCCTTGAAGCTCACATGTTTCCTTGAGCTATGCTCTCAGAAAACTATTCATGACTCGGAACAGATAATGTCCGTGGACAAATATCCTCGCATGTTTTTGTGCCAAATGGAGGCTATTGTTTATATATTCAGTCATGTGACACATTTGGACCAATCGCATATGAACAAAAATATTTGATGGATTATAATGACCAATTCCCTCTATGAGAAATGCCCGCATGGAATCATGGTAGTTGTATTCATCAAAACAAATGTCCAGTCCATGATGATTAATACAACTACCATGATTCCCTGTAGGCATCTCTCATATAGGAAATTGACCACTGAGAAGAATAATATTTATTAGTTCCAAAAAAAAACATTAATTAAAAGTTTACACCTTGTGACGGTTTGGCGGACAGCTACCCCCTTAACCATCCTAAAAGTGCACTAAAGAAACAAAAAACCCTTAACATCCGTGTGTTCGTATCAAAGTAAGCTTAACGTAAGCTTAATAATAAGAAAACATCGTTCTACATACGAAAATAAATCGGAAAGCACATTGACGGTGTCTCCACATTCAAATACTTAAGTTTATAATTTAGCTTACATGTTAATTTAACTGATGTAGCTAAATTTACGTATACCCACATTTTGCCGAATTTTTGTCTTTACTACCACTGGTGAAGAGGCTGCCATGGTTCCACCACACTTAATTTTCGCGACTGCCGCTTTCTACTCAGCTTCCCTCAGCTGTCTAAGGTCGACGACAAAGAACTGCACAGCGGAATACAGATTGCCACAAGCGCATGAGGACCAGAACCAGCAGCACTTTACGCATATTTCTATGAATGCAACCGCTGCATAATCAAATGGGATCAAAACAAAATGGACACCGGGTTGCGGGAAAGAGAACACTTGCTAACTTTAAAAGGTAGATACTCAACTGAGTTTGTTTTGATCGTCTTCGATGTTTCTTTGTGTTTTCCCCTATGATTGATCTTTCTTTTGACACTAGATATTACGGACTTCTTGTAATGTTTTTAGTAATGAGATTGACCAGACCATCGTTGTACACCAGTGTTCCCGTGACAAATGAAACCCAAGATTTACCAGGTCTGTAAACTTGATTATTTTTAAAATTATAACATGAAAAAAATACAGAGTAAAATTTTGCCTGACATGTGCATCCATTTTAGCGATCTTTATTCAATAAAATACAGTTTTTGAGAGCAAAACAGTTATAAGTCCCTGGAGTGATCATAAGCATTTGTAAGTCAGGGATTCAAATTTTTTGAACGGTGGAGTAGCCATTCTCACTTGAGGCAATCAATGTCTGCTCCTAGCCCTTATGCCTTGGTGGAGACAGGGGTCTGAGGTCACATCCTAGCCCATCCATGGGCTTTGCACAGGGTTCTCCTCGCTTAACGCAGGGTTTTGGGTGCAGAATTGCTGCCTGCTGCACCCCTTCAGCACTGTGCTGAAGCCCCATCAGGCTTAGTGAAATGTAGCAACCCTAAATCCCAGGGTGTCAAGAATTGATGCAGATGATGATGAAGATGGTGATGATGATGACGACGACGAGGTAGCAGTTGGTATACTACAGCCTTTTCTCAGACCATTTCATGCTCTGAGAAATTACTTAGCTTCATTTGCAGATTGAGAAGTGACTATGTGTTGCTTAATTTGATGTTTATCTGATCAATGAAACCTAACATGATCATTAAAATTGTTATCATGTTATCAAGTATGTAAAATAACCTGAGAAAGAAGACATTTCATCACCACCTTTGGTCATCAGACATGTGAAGTATGCTTGTTTTGGTAGTAGTAATAGTTAGGTTAATGCTGTGCATGGTCATCTAACAATTCAGGTTAAGAAATTGCAAACTAACAACTCCAAACACTCACCACTTGCAATGCAGTAATAATTATATTTTCACTTGTAAACAATGACAATGGTGTACCATTTTCCTGTAGAAAATACTTTTGAGGATGCACAGCTGTCTGATATAACCTCTGTCAAGGGCCTCAGTAAATTTGCTTTGGGTGAATTGTTTGTCTTGCCACAGACTTTTGGGTAAGTGGCTTAATGTCTGTCTGTACTCAGGCAATACAATGATTAATCTCAGGGCTTCCAGATTCCAGAACCTGTTTTTATTCAATTGAGGGTGGACCGGCCCAGAACTGGGTAGTATTGAGCAGTGTGGGAGAAGCTAAGGAGAGGGGACAAAACTGACTTTCACTAACAAATCAGTCTGATCCAGTAAGAAAGCTTACAATGGATTGGAGAAGCCAAGTCGCTTAGCATTGATAACTAGGATTTAACTTTAGTTCCTTCCTTGGTTTCCATAACAAGAAAAAAATACGAGTACCAGTGCTTCTCCCTGGAGGGGATGCAGATAACTCCCAGGACACAAACCCTGTCTTGAACCAAGACTGCTTGATATGGAGGCTAGTGCAGCTGCCATTAGAGTGGGTTGTCAAAATGAACTGGCTGCCAGCAAAAGTCTCCATCTGCTTCATGTTCTTGGCCAGCTACTCCGATTCTTCACAAACAGATGACAAATTAGCTACTTACAGTGACAGTTATGTCACCTCAAAACATTGTGACTTTATAAGACCATTGATGACACCACACTCTTGACTAATATAAATGACCTGTTGTGTAGAAATGTAGAGACTGGATTAAAGCTTCAATGCCATCTATGACAATGCACTTTTAATATCATCTCTATGTCATTACAGGTTTAATGTTGTCTATTCACTTCTACAGAAACATATTCCTAGGTGAAGTATTTTCAAGTTATGTCAGTGTTCATAATGATAGTAACCAACCAGTGAAAGATATTGTGATTAAGGTGCGTAGCTTTTGTTTTTGCTCGTGTACCACAGTAAGTCTCCTTAAGTTGTATACTGTCTGGTAATCATTGTCACCTTCCTAGAACAATTCTCATAATGAAGAAAGCTGGCAATGATTCAATAAATTCCTTTTCAGACTGATCTACAGACGTCATCTCAGAGACTGACCCTGTCAGGTACAGCTAACATGCCAGTTGCTAAACTTGATCCTGAGGAGAGCTTTGATCAGGTTATTCAACATGAGGTCAAAGAACTAGGAACACACATGTAAGTCAGATCAAGCTGCTTTCAGAGTGTTCCTCAATATTGTTCAAGTCTGTTTTTGTTGTAGAGTTCAATTTTTATGCAAGTAGGTGTTTCAGTTATCCCAAGGACTTTTGTTCATAGATCACGAATGTTCATTTATTCCTCAGTCTTGTGTGTGCTGTGAGCTATGCATCCTTAACAGGCGAGAAAATGTACTTCCGGAAGTTCTTTAAATTCCAGGTGATTATAATGAATAATAAGTTTTCATTTATACCCCTTCCCCCAAGGCTGCCCCCCCCCCCCGACCCTGCGTCATAGTAATAGGTCTTTGACTATCTTATCTGCGGTAACATAATGGTAAATGGTTTGAACCCAGGAGTATCAGTAGTATCAGGAGTATGCTGTCCACTTTCAGAAATGTTTAAATATTGTATGACTGTGTAATTTGAATCAATCCAATGTCATTTATAGGAATATGCCATTTTAACACTTGAACATGTGTGCATAAACTACCTCGCAAAATGGAAATTGGGTGTCAAAGACATCCAGGAGCTTCTACTATTGGGAGCCAGCTCCTGGATGGAGACTGCTCTCATGGCTGGCAAATCCTGCCAACCCAGCCATGAGCCTGGAGAGGAGAAAAAACAGGCAGCTTTCACACTGATGCAACAGTGGAAAGAGAGGGAGGGAAAGGGGGGAGCCTCTTTACTATATTGTCCCACAAAAGTAAGACTTGTACTCCTTATTGTTAACTCTCACTGTTAAATTGCATTTAACTGTATCCAATAAGTCTGGGTTACCCAGATCATGTGTACTAAAGGTATCCATGGTAGAGTGTCGATCAATACTCTCGATCAGTACCCTCGATCAATACTCAATTGACATCCAGATTGTTATTTGGTCAGCACTCTATTGACTCTTGATCAAGAGTTGTTTTTTTTTATGCTTTTCCTGTCTTACAAACATCGCTTACAGTACATGAAAAAAAAACCTACTTATTACAATTCTTTGCATTATGTAACTTACAATATGCAATAATAATTTATTACTTATTATGGCATAACCTACTTACACATTATGTTACAGTTGGTTGATATTTGGCGGAGTGTTGACCAACTCATATGAATCGATTGAAAATTAGTCGACTCTCAACCGACTGTTGACCAAGATGTCGATGGAGTGTCAATCGAGTATTGATCAAGAATATTGATAGAGGGTATCGATTGACACTTGACCGCAGATGTCTTTAGGACACATGATCCACTTACCCTTGGCATGCAGTGCGCATGAAACACTAAGGAAGTGGGCTCCAGTGACAAGATAAGCTCTCCCTGAATACACAATGCTTTTACAATAATTTTAAATGTACGTTGCATTTTTATTCATCTACTAGGTTCTAAAACCTCTTGACGTTAAAACAAAGTTTTACAATGCTATGGTAAGCAATACAGTCAGTCTCCAGTCTTGTATTGTACATGAATCAAGTGCTGTAATTTATGTTATAATTTTATAATCATGGCACTCTGTTACCTCAGTCTTTACTTTTGACAGGATGATGAAGTATTCCTTGAGGCTCAAGTGCAGAACATAACATCAAGTCCAATGGTTATGGAGTCAGTCAAGTTAGAGCCATCATCTACATACACTGTCAAAGATCTTAATGTCATCCCGGTTGAACAGAAAATTGGGTGAGGCATTTTGTGGTAGTGAAGTAGCTTCTTAACAGAGTTTAATTTGTAGGCAATCTTGGTTAAAAACAAGTTCTGCTCTATGTCATACACCCTGTAAGTTGGTGGTGTATGGCTTGAAGGAAAATTATGTTGCAGGGACAAGCATTTTCAAAATACTGTAATGTATGAATTTAGGATAAATGTGCAAAATGATCAATTTTTTTGTCACTTGGCTAGAGAGGAGACTGGTACAAAAAGTATATTTGGTCAGGGGTCATACATGAACCCCAACGACACCAGACAGTATCTGTACAGGCTGACTCCAGTAGCACCCACGGACAAGAATATCAAGGTATAAAAAATTGAATAACTTGAAAATATTGTAAAATAAGTGACACACCATGAGTACACATTGAATTGAGAACATCAAATGAGTGATGTACTACATACCTTAATCCTGAACTATATTAACTAGTTGACTGTTTACATTATAACTGTTCAACTAAATTTGAGAATTTTTCACATCAAAAAATACCCGAGTGTACTCAAATGAGCAATTTATAAATTATGTATTTAAGATTTCTTGTTTGTTATCTGTAATTGCCCAAGAAATAAAATTCTTTAAAAACATTATTTGTTAATTGGATAATTTAAAATGAACATTTTTAAAACACAGGTGGCTAATGTTGTTGGGAAATTGGATATTGTTTGGAGAACAGCTTTTGGAGAAAGAGGAAGACTTCAAACTAGTCAACTGCAGAGAGTGGTGTGTATGATACCAGCTGTACAACTAATAATAACGTTATAACAAAAAAGTTACATGTATTAGTCTGATGTAGCTATGCCAGTACAGAGGTCTAATTTTGCCTTCTTTTACTACTAGTCCCTAATAATTTTAGTGTAAAAAATTGCCTTACAAGTTTAACTCAGGTGAATTGCCAGCTGAGAGTTTTCTGAGCAGAAAAATATGGTGTTCTTTGCAAGGCTACATGTGTTTATAAAGCACAAGTATATAATAGTGGAACTTAAAAGTACCATGTGACATGAACCTTTGAGTACACTTCGCCTAATGTGTTGTTGTTAATATTGTCTAGTTTCATTTTTATTTTCCAGTGTTTAAGATCGATATTAAAATTAATTTGTTGTTCTAGTCTCCTCCAGTGTTAGATATCAAAATGAGTGTTGTCCAAATCCCAGATGCAGTATTAGTGGAGAAAAGGTTTCCATTGAAACTTAAATTAAGAAACACATGGTAAGGTCTTTCATATAAAGATTTATAAGCTGGTTTTTTTAATCATCACCTTCTCCAAACATGGTACTTAGTATTAATAAGTAAAACAAGATTTTATTTCATGAGAACTCATTTTGTGAAAACCAAACTTTTGTGGAGTTGTCCACATTATATTTTGTGGGAATGTGCACCATATTCCCCCCACGGAAGGGAATGGAATTTCCTGGGGTGGGGTCTGTGAGACCAAAAAAACAATTTAGAGAAATGTTTGAAGCTTAATTGGAATTTTCCAGAGGGGGTGATGGGGTCTTATAAAAAAATCCCTTCCATGGAGGAGGTATGAATATTTTCTGTAACTACCCAATGTAGTAAGAAAGAAAAATACTGGTAACAACAATCCTCCATAGTCTGATAGATGGTCTATGTTTATTTACAGTCTACTCGATTGGCATATTTGGAATAGGTCCCCACCCCTTCTTAGAAATTCATGGGGGGATGTTCATAAATTTTGATAGGATCGCTGTTTGGTTACAGGAATAGTATACCCTTTACTTGGCTTTGTTCTCATTATAGTGATAGAAAGATGGACCTGAAACTGTTCATGACAAAAAGTAAAGATGGTGGACTGATGTGGTGTGGTACATCTGGCAAGGTAAAATTAATGATTGAATTTATTTACTCAACAAAAAACCTCAGTGTGAAGTACCTGTGCAAAGGTCTCTTTTCTGCCACACTTATGGGACAATGTACAAGACTACTTGTACATTGCACGAAAACAATAACAGCTCTACACCACACCCATGTCTTGTCCAGGCCTTTGGGAGAGAAGCAAAGTACAACTAATCCGAGTTTCGTGATTAAACCAACAGCCCTTTGAAGATAGCATAAGTCTCAACCATCATTGATCATAATCATTATTTTTACTTACAATTTAGAGAAAGGCGGGGCCTGTTTCTTGAGCGTCCCAAAAAGTTTTTGCACCTGGAAAGCCATAGCAAAATCTTCTAAGATTTAAAGGTTTAAACACCTTACGATTAGAGAGCTGTGTTATTCATATATTCTTACACCTGTAATATGAACAGAGTTCTCTTCATACAAGGAGTTTCAGATGTATACACCTCTCTGTTTACAAATATAAATTGACTAAAATTGGCTTTTCGCACCTGAAGAGTTTCCGGGGCTTTCAAGAAACTGGCCCCAGGTGTCTGTACTGACATGAGAACCTTTGAATGAAACCACAGCATTACTGAACCATTTAGGCTTCCTAGGAGGCCATTACAGTGAAATTACATTACATTATGTTTTTCTATGTGATGTTTTGGTCCTAATTATGTTGTCATATTTAGAGTTTAGGTCTTCTTCTTCCTGGAAATTCAGTGGAGTTACAACTTAACCTGCTTCCACTTGCTGCTGGAATGCAAGTATGTCTTGCTTCCTTTACTTGATACTTTACAAATCAGTCATTACTCATTAAGCCATATTTCAAGGGCACATAACACCATGCTAACTAAAAAGCCTCCCTGCAACATGCAATGAAGTAGGAAAACAGGATAGCCCCTTAAAGAAAAACAAATAGAAAACCAGCAATAAATTCAGACTTTTTTTGAACATTAATGTCAACTCACAAAGTTCCCTTTGATGAATACAGTTTATAAGGTTTTGTCTAACAGTAATGAAGTTATGATTTTTTTTTTCAGAGTGTTGGAGGCTTGCAAATTGTAGACTGCCTTTCTTCACGGACGTACGAGTTGGACAACTTGTCACAAGTGTTTGTTTATTCATCAGAAATATCACCATTCCTTCATCAACACTAATGAGCTGATGACAAGTAGTCACCTACAAACAGATACCCCCATCTGGAACAACATCCAATAACACTGATCTTTAGTGCGACTGATATGATATTTCTAAGAATGAGGAAAATAAACTGTCTTCGATGTTGGTTTTTACATTTACATGTAGAAACTAGACACGAGTCAGAAAGAGTAAATGTCAGGGTATTGGGTAAGAAGTTTCCAATCAATATCTTGTAATCGATAGTTGTGGAAGCTTCTCACGGAAAGGTTATGTTCCAAAAGCATACATTGAACACATTGTTCCAAACCAGAATAATTAAATAATTTATTACCACAAAACCATCCTACAGACTCTCTTCAGGGAAGAGTGCTTGATAAAACAACGTAGTTAGCAACCTTTTTCCTCCCAAAAAATACCCCAGAAGATTTGGAAGTTATTAAGGGTGCATTTCCTTTGTTACATACTGGTAATGTTATGCAAGTAGCTTTAGAGTCGTTAGTAAATAACAAGTAAAAACAATTATGCTGTGATGATCCAGGTCAAATAATAAAAGATGCTTGGATCATAGTACATCAGAGAAACCAATGAATCCACTCTGGAAAAGGACAGGAATCTTGGATCAAAGGAAAGCACCCTGTTCTGTTCAAGTCTTACGACAGTAAATTAAAATAGTGTTACCTTACCTATGAATGAAAACCAACCGTTACCTTAACTGGAGGCTAACTAGAGTAAAGAAGCTAATCAACTGTCTAAACCTCAGACGCCAAATGTTTGGAAGGTAGAGAGACAAAGAAAGCTAAAAGTCTTTTGGTACTGAAACAAAATGAAATATAATTTACCAGTATGTACTAGCATAAAACTATTTACAGCAAACAAATACCTTTTGAACTGAAAGGATTAATTGTCTGGATAACAGGGTAATTTTATGTTCACTGTCATTCAGTTTTTCTTTCAAAATCCTGTTCTTGTAAAGAACACTAGTTTTGGGACCTTAGTCATTTAGTTCCTTGTCGTTGTACTCAAAAGACACTCTCTTCATAAAGAATTATACAATCTATTGGATATTTATAGGTATTGCTTAGGTATTGCTTATGTATTGCTTATCTTTGTCTGTCTTCAAATGTCAAGCCCTACTTTTCATAATGTAGTTACTGCTAATCAACCTTTTCCTGTACAATTTAGCTTTGACTAGCAGCACCTAGTATCTTACACAAAAAGCATACTTTTGTTCTCATAACCAGTCCTGTACTGTTAATTACAAACATAACATTGTTATCAACTGCAAACCAAGTAATGCCTTTTTACATGTATGTTCTTCACTGTTCTTTATAGAATAAAATCCAGTTGATGTATGATGGAACGGACAATGTTTTACTATAAGAGTGTGTCGTTAGTTGAAATGATTGTCTTTACAGTGAATGTCTAATCCAATTTCCAAACCGAACATAAAATCTCTTCTATAACACACACACACGACTGATGCTAGCAGCAAACACAGAATGTGAATCACTAACACGCAAGTAAAGCATTGCCAGACATGAGCTGAGTATTAACCAGTGTAAGAAGCATGCCTTAGCCAAGATGCAATGCTGTCAGATTTCTGCAGCATCTTTGGTCAATTTTCTAGAGACTATGGTTTATGGTAAACAACCAAACACCCATAATATGGCAATTTTCTCCCAAAAGTGGCTTCCATTGGGATACCTTCTAAAATATCACTAGTATTTCAATGGCTATTAATATTTCTTTACACAAGAAATGCAGTTTCTTCCTTTCCCTAGGTAAAACATCAATCCTCAATTGCAAGACAGCGTTTCTGACAATTTTAAGAGGTTGCTGAAAACCTGTTACAGCAGGGCTACAATCCTACATTCTGTTAGTGATAACCTCATCCAGACTACTAAACAGTGTAGCCCTGATGTAACTGCAACATGCCAGACATCAGTGGAAAAATGTGCTTCTGCATTGTAGCTGTGTTGGTTAGTTCACTCAATGCCACTTTAGGGAAATGAAATAATTTTCTAATCCATGAGACACCACTATTCATAATTGTAAGGGGAGCCATAATATAAGCTGATCAGAAGTTATCCCAAAATGTAAACAGATCTAGGAATTAGATAAGAGGATATTATGGCCCTATTACATTGCAAAATTCTTCAGGTCTGATCCCAGATTCCACAGAATTAGGGTTGTCATTAATCTTTACAACTGGACTTGCATTGCCTGCTCCCTCTGCATATCCTCAGCAGGACTGTATCACCTTAAGAAAAAAAAAAAGAGAAAAAGTTAGTTTTGATCTAAAGAAACATAAACTAGCTGCATATGTAGACTACACAAAGAAAGGGCAAAAAACTTTTATCCCCTTGCACGGCTGAGACAAGTTTTTTTTGCTGCCTACTGTAAATCAGGGGTTCTTGGTACACTTTTGATCAAACCCAAACAACGAATTAGCGTTACGCAGTACAGCATTTCTTGTTTTAATAGTTCTCTATGTAAGTTTAGGAAAACATTCATTTTACACTAACAGACCAACAAAATTGTTTATTGTTATATGGCAAGGAAGTCTTGAGGTAAATCCATTCAGTCTGATTAGTTCTTTCTTGGTCAGGATTTTGCCACAGGAGCCGTGTATTTTTTTGTTCAAACAGTAGCAAATTCAAAATTTAGTGCCATATAATAAATAATTACTACTGGTAACCTAGCTTGCTCAAGCCATACTAGGAAACATTGGCCATCAGACATTTTGTACGGACTGAACATAACGGGATCCATACTGCCATGACTTCAGAGCAACATTTCCAAGTAAGGCACTCATGCTCCCTTGGTAAGAAGTAAGTATTAAAGTTCACTTTTATTGAACTTGTAGATGAAGTGATATGTGAATAAAGAAGTTTGTTTCACTAGCCTGTCGTTTAAGCAGCAGGCAACATATCGTTTGTCATCTGTTTTGGACTAGTGGATTTTAAGCTTGGATGACCAAAATCTAGATAGTATTTGTTCGATGGATGAGTGAAATGAAAAATATTTTTTCCCTTCCTTAAAGGACTGTTTGGCTAAATTCAAAGATGATATCTTAAGAATCACGTGCTTCACGAAAGAGTATTAATTGAATAGAGATGTCACTTAGGAACAATATGCAGTATTAATATCAATGAAAATCATCATAGGTATGTTTCAGCAAGGGAAATTTGTGAACCATTGTTTACACTTCACCTGTTTAGATCTTTATGATGAGTCACTAGTTGCTGGCCTGGCACCAGCTTCTCTACTCTGTGCTGGGGCCAGGTCTTGGGCTTGGTGTTGCTGTGGCCATGTATGGTAGCTAGAAAAACCCTCAAATTCATCTGCTGTGTTAATGTCACCAGGAAGATGAAAACTGTGTCCTTCTGTTAAATCATCAGTTGCAGCATCACTAGATCGTGTCCACCGTCTTCTTGTTAAGGAAGAATCAACTTGACCTCTTCCATCTGCATTTATTAAAATTAAAGTTTATGGTAAACAACTTAGAAAGAATGCTGCTTGACTGATTAAAAGACACTTATAATCAAGGAAAGAAGCGCTTTTGTTTCATAAAACCACCAATGAGACTACCATGATCTGAAAGTGGTTACCTACCCTTTAACATAGTGCATGTACATCATTATTAAGATATAACATACATCTGTCGGCAGGAAGTGGGACAGTGCGATTATCTTGGTTTTTGAAACTTTGAATTTGTAAGGCCTGTTACCAAACACACTCAAACTTTAAACAATAACTCCTCAGAAATGTGCTGATTAAGGATTTGAAAGTATCACCAGGCAGCTAACCTTCTTCAGTTGGTAAGTGTACTGTTTCTCTGGTACTACTACTGTAAACTATATGCTCATCGTCATCTGTTAAGTGACATTCAAGAATATGAATTATTTCCAAAAAATAATTTAATAATCAATCATACATCTTTAGCTACAGTGTCACAGCTCAGGGATTCTTAAATTGCAAATATAATAGTCAAAATCAACACAGAATATTTCTTTACAACTTTGAAACAAAATTTCACCACTCAAAAGTTTAATTCTACAACAGTACTCTTCTTGAGTTCTTTCAATGACCTGTACAGTTATTACACTGATAAACCATACAAGATGTGCTCTGACCCAGGTGAAGGATTCTTTGATTTCCCTCCCTTCACAAAAACCAGCACTTTGAGGTTCCAATCCAATCTGCAAACAGTGGATGAATGGCCATGCTGCAGAATGTCCCACTGAGGGTAACTCTCATTTATGTAATTCATGTGTATGCATTTACCTTGTACTGGCACTTAATTTACAAACTAAGCAAGATAAATGCATGGTTTAATGGATAGAAGTACAGTTTACTACTCTCAATATATCTAGATACTGATGACGTACCATCATTAAATGGAACATTGGGTAGTGGCAAGTTACCAGGGGGAGGGTGGTTGGGAAGTTCATCTGCTGCTGGCACATTAACTTCATCAGTAAGTGCAGCAATAGGATCCGCTAGCAGGTCTTCTTCAGGATCAGCCTGGTGACTCAGGATCACCGGTAACTCATAGTGATGGAAGAAAAATAACATGGAATGCTGTGGAAAAACAATCACCTGTCATGTACATTGTTATTAAGCAATAAACCTGTAAACTGATTTGGACTAACTACAGCCACATTATATCAGCATCATAGTTATTTTCTCAACCTTGTTCTCTTTCTCTCCACTAGCAAGGCAACAAGACTTTTAGCACTGAAGCCCAACACACTGACCATTTGACTACTACACCTCCCAACAAGAAAATAAAGGGTCAATCTGAGGTTCTCTACACCCAAATTATTAACAAAATAAATAAATAAATACCTGAATGAAAAGCCAAGAAGTAACAAGTGCAAGCCCACTGTACTGCCCATTGAAACGGTAATGGTATGCATAAAATGCAAAGTGATATAAGTAGAAGAATCTGAAATAAAACATATTGAAACAGTTTCACATGGAAATCAATAGCAATTACTGATTATATTCTGATACTTGGTAAATTGTGCACATTTCAAAAGTTACAGTGACAAACCTGAGCCAAAACTTTTTACTCTGCTGCGTATGACAGCAAATAGCATCATACTGATCTGCTGTCCATACTATAAGGATAATGTAAAAACTTGTTGTGGTGTCATTGAAAAACTCGGACATAATAGCTTCCATTCCTGTGGGAAGTAACAAAAATTAAATTTTGTGAGTTAGAAGAAAAATTACAAGAACATACACATTGCAGTGTGTTAGCAAAAAACTTAAAACTTTCGTTATAACAATCTAAGCAAAGATCCAAAAGATAACTTAAAAAAAATACTCGAACATTATCAATAAACAATTATTGAAAAACTCATACATGTATATATAAAATTTACGACATTAACATTTGATTTAAGAGGAAGGCTTTCATTTTACGCTTAAAAATGATAAGAGGATTCACTTAATTTAAAGTGGGGTTTTAAGGCATTCCACTAAGTTACAGTTCTGTCATAAAAAGATCTCTGTCCCAACTTAGTTTTAAAAAGCGGTATATTAAGCTGAGTAGATGATCTGGTCGCCCAACAGCTAATGTTCTCTCTGGGGATAAAATTTGAACTGAGGTAGTTTGGTACTTGACCTGTGATACATTTAAAGGCCAAGATGGCATCTCTCAGATACAGGTGGGAAATCCAACTGGGATCATAAAATGTTTATAGCAAGTGTATGTATGTATCATTTACTTCTTTCAATAACAACATGTACGGTGCGTCGCTTACCTACAAGGGAGAGGATAACTGTGAAGAGGGGAGCTGCAGGAAATGCAATTGTCACATTCAGATCCAGCATCTGAAGCAAGTTCACTGAAAATGTAAGAATGTAGAATGAAATTTAAACCAGAAGTCCCACTATCTGTCCAAACAGCCACCACTTCATAGAGTTTCTATGACATGAATTAGCAATGTTTTACATGTAAGAGTGTTGTTAAATGGATACTGGCCACATTTCCCACCACAACCTGATACTTACCTATGAAGACAAAGATTTGATGATGACAATACCTCAACAGCATTGAAATCGAAATTGTCTGAAAACAAGGCAAAATGATGCAATTCATCAGCACGAAAAAAAAAGAAAATTACTAGTTACTAAAGGATGATAACAGGAACCTGAAAATACCTGAAAAGGGCAACCTAGGTAAAATAGTCAATTGGTAGATAGGATCTAGAAATAATTCATCCTTAGCCAAGGCTTCTGCCAAATTGACCAAAGAGGAGCAAATTACTCAGGCTAATCCTGAAAGCCGTGACCAAGGAAACAGAAATCCACTTTAATTAGTACTCATACAGGAGCAGAAAGCTTCTAAATATATCAGAAAAATAAGATACATTGTAATATATGAATTCTCAAGATCCTGTAGGCATAAGCGTATCAACAACTCAACCCCTGCCACCTGAACTGGAATTAACTTTATTAATTTCAATAGCTACAATTATTAGTTTATCATACTTGCTTAGAAAAAAACACCAAACACTGGTTATTGAAAAGAGCACAATTTTTTTTTCTAGTTCAATAAATACATGTACCTTGCTTGTGGATATACATATAATTATGTATGCAAAAGCTTGTGGTTGCACATATGAAATTATCTNAATCTATTGGATATTTATAGGTATTGCTTAGGTATTGCTTATGTATTGCTTATCTTTGTCTGTCTTCAAATGTCAAGCCCTACTTTTCATAATGTAGTTACTGCTAATCAACCTTTTCCTGTACAATTTAGCTTTGACTAGCAGCACCTAGTATCTTACACAAAAAGCATACTTTTGTTCTCATAACCAGTCCTGTACTGTTAATTACAAACATAACATTGTTATCAACTGCAAACCAAGTAATGCCTTTTTACATGTATGTTCTTCACTGTTCTTTATAGAATAAAATCCAGTTGATGTATGATGGAACGGACAATGTTTTACTATAAGAGTGTGTCGTTAGTTGAAATGATTGTCTTTACAGTGAATGTCTAATCCAATTTCCAAACCGAACATAAAATCTCTTCTATAACACACACACACGACTGATGCTAGCAGCAAACACAGAATGTGAATCACTAACACGCAAGTAAAGCATTGCCAGACATGAGCTGAGTATTAACCAGTGTAAGAAGCATGCCTTAGCCAAGATGCAATGCTGTCAGATTTCTGCAGCATCTTTGGTCAATTTTCTAGAGACTATGGTTTATGGTAAACAACCAAACACCCATAATATGGCAATTTTCTCCCAAAAGTGGCTTCCATTGGGATACCTTCTAAAATATCACTAGTATTTCAATGGCTATTAATATTTCTTTACACAAGAAATGCAGTTTCTTCCTTTCCCTAGGTAAAACATCAATCCTCAATTGCAAGACAGCGTTTCTGACAATTTTAAGAGGTTGCTGAAAACCTGTTACAGCAGGGCTACAATCCTACATTCTGTTAGTGATAACCTCATCCAGACTACTAAACAGTGTAGCCCTGATGTAACTGCAACATGCCAGACATCAGTGGAAAAATGTGCTTCTGCATTGTAGCTGTGTTGGTTAGTTCACTCAATGCCACTTTAGGGAAATGAAATAATTTTCTAATCCATGAGACACCACTATTCATAATTGTAAGGGGAGCCATAATATAAGCTGATCAGAAGTTATCCCAAAATGTAAACAGATCTAGGAATTAGATAAGAGGATATTATGGCCCTATTACATTGCAAAATTCTTCAGGTCTGATCCCAGATTCCACAGAATTAGGGTTGTCATTAATCTTTACAACTGGACTTGCATTGCCTGCTCCCTCTGCATATCCTCAGCAGGACTGTATCACCTTAAGAAAAAAAAAAAGAGAAAAAGTTAGTTTTGATCTAAAGAAACATAAACTAGCTGCATATGTAGACTACACAAAGAAAGGGCAAAAAACTTTTATCCCCTTGCACGGCTGAGACAAGTTTTTTTTGCTGCCTACTGTAAATCAGGGGTTCTTGGTACACTTTTGATCAAACCCAAACAACGAATTAGCGTTACGCAGTACAGCATTTCTTGTTTTAATAGTTCCCTATGTAAGTTTAGGAAAACATTCATTTTACACTAACAGACCAACAAAATTGTTTATTGTTATATGGCAAGGAAGTCTTGAGGTAAATCCATTCAGTCTGATTAGTTCTTTCTTGGTCAGGATTTTGCCACAGGAGCCGTGTATTTTTTTGTTCAAACAGTAGCAAATTCAAAATTTAGTGCCATATAATAAATAATTACTACTGGTAACCTAGCTTGCTCAAGCCATACTAGGAAACATTGGCCATCAGACATTTTGTACGGACTGAACATAACGGGATCCATACTGCCATGACTTCAGAGCAACATTTCCAAGTAAGGCACTCATGCTCCCTTGGTAAGAAGTAAGTATTAAAGTTCACTTTTATTGAACTTGTAGATGAAGTGATATGTGAATAAAGAAGTTTGTTTCACTAGCCTGTCGTTTAAGCAGCAGGCAACATATCGTTTGTCATCTGTTTTGGACTAGTGGATTTTAAGCTTGGATGACCAAAATCTAGATAGTATTTGTTCGATGGATGAGTGAAATGAAAAATATTTTTTCCCTTCCTTAAAGGACTGTTTGGCTAAATTCAAAGATGATATCTTAAGAATCACGTGCTTCACGAAAGAGTATTAATTGAATAGAGATGTCACTTAGGAACAATATGCAGTATTAATATCAATGAAAATCATCATAGGTATGTTTCAGCAAGGGAAATTTGTGAACCATTGTTTACACTTCACCTGTTTAGATCTTTATGATGAGTCACTAGTTGCTGGCCTGGCACCAGCTTCTCTACTCTGTGCTGGGGCCAGGTCTTGGGCTTGGTGTTGCTGTGGCCATGTATGGTAGCTAGAAAAACCCTCAAATTCATCTGCTGTGTTAATGTCACCAGGAAGATGAAAACTGTGTCCTTCTGTTAAATCATCAGTTGCAGCATCACTAGATCGTGTCCACCGTCTTCTTGTTAAGGAAGAATCAACTTGACCTCTTCCATCTGCATTTATTAAAATTAAAGTTTATGGTAAACAACTTAGAAAGAATGCTGCTTGACTGATTAAAAGACACTTATAATCAAGGAAAGAAGCGCTTTTGTTTCATAAAACCACCAATGAGACTACCATGATCTGAAAGTGGTTACCTACCCTTTAACATAGTGCATGTACATCATTATTAAGATATAACATACATCTGTCGGCAGGAAGTGGGACAGTGCGATTATCTTGGTTTTTGAAACTTTGAATTTGTAAGGCCTGTTACCAAACACACTCAAACTTTAAACAATAACTCCTCAGAAATGTGCTGATTAAGGATTTGAAAGTATCACCAGGCAGCTAACCTTCTTCAGTTGGTAAGTGTACTGTTTCTCTGGTACTACTACTGTAAACTATATGCTCATCGTCATCTGTTAAGTGACATTCAAGAATATGAATTATTTCCAAAAAATAATTTAATAATCAATCATACATCTTTAGCTACAGTGTCACAGCTCAGGGATTCTTAAATTGCAAATATAATAGTCAAAATCAACACAGAATATTTCTTTACAACTTTGAAACAAAATTTCACCACTCAAAAGTTTAATTCTACAACAGTACTCTTCTTGAGTTCTTTCAATGACCTGTACAGTTATTACACTGATAAACCATACAAGATGTGCTCTGACCCAGGTGAAGGATTCTTTGATTTCCCTCCCTTCACAAAAACCAGCACTTTGAGGTTCCAATCCAATCTGCAAACAGTGGATGAATGGCCATGCTGCAGAATGTCCCATTGAGGGCTAACTCTCATTTATGTAATTCATGTGTATGCATTTACCTTGTACTGGCACTTAATTTACAAACTAAGCAAGATAAATGCATGGTTTAATGGATAGAAGTACAGTTTACTACTCTCAATATATCTAGATACTGATGACGTACCATCATTAAATGGAACATTGGGTAGTGGCAAGTTACCAGGGGGAGGGTGGTTGGGAAGTTCATCTGCTGCTGGCACATTAACTTCATCAGTAAGTGCAGCAATAGGATCCGCTAGCAGGTCTTCTTCAGGATCAGCCTGGTGACTCAGGATCACTGGTAACTCATAGTGATGGAAGAAAAATAACATGGAATGCTGTGGAAAAACAATCACCTGTCATGTACATTGTTATTAAGCAATAAACCTGTAAACTGATTTGGACTAACTACAGCCACATTATATCAGCATCATAGTTATTTTCTCAACCTTGTTCTCTTTCTCTCCACTAGCAAGGCAACAAGACTTTTAGCACTGAAGCCCAACACACTGACCATTTGACTACTACACCTCCCAACAAGAAAATAAAGGGTCAATCTGAGGTTCTCTACACCCAAATTATTAACAAAATAAATAAATAAATACCTGAATGAAAAGCCAAGAAGTAACAAGTGCAAGCCCACTGTACTGCCCATTGAAACGGTAATGGTATGCATAAAATGCAAAGTGATATAAGTAGAAGAATCTGAAATAAAACATATTGAAACAGTTTCACATGGAAATCAATAGCAATTACTGATTATATTCTGATACTTGGTAAATTGTGCACATTTCAAAAGTTACAGTGACAAACCTGAGCCAAAACTTTTTACTCTGCTGCGTATGACAGCAAATAGCATCATACTGATCTGCTGTCCATACTATAAGGATAATGTAAAAACTTGTTGTGGTGTCATTGAAAAACTCGGACATAATAGCTTCCATTCCTGTGGGAAGTAACAAAAATTAAATTTTGTGAGTTAGAAGAAAAATTACAAGAACATACACATTGCAGTGTGTTAGCAAAAAACTTAAAACTTTCGTTATAACAATCTAAGCAAAGATCCAAAAGATAACTTAAAAAAAATACTCGAACATTATCAATAAACAATTATTGAAAAACTCATACATGTATATATAAAATTTACGACATTAACATTTGATTTAAGAGGAAGGCTTTCATTTTACGCTTAAAAATGATAAGAGGATTCACTTAATTTAAAGTGGGGTTTTAAGGCATTCCACTAAGTTACAGTTCTGTCATAAAAAGATCTCTGTCCCAACTTAGTTTTAAAAAGCGGTATATTAAGCTGAGTAGATGATCTGGTCGCCCAACAGCTAATGTTCTCTCTGGGGATAAAATTTGAACTGAGGTAGTTTGGTACTTGACCTGTGATACATTTAAAGGCCAAGATGGCATCTCTCAGATACAGGTGGGAAATCCAACTGGGATCATAAAATGTTTATAGCAAGTGTATGTATGTATCATTTACTTCTTTCAATAACAACATGTACGGTGCGTCGCTTACCTACAAGGGAGAGGATAACTGTGAAGAGGGGAGCTGCAGGAAATGCAATTGTCACATTCAGATCCAGCATCTGAAGCAAGTTCACTGAAAATGTAAGAATGTAGAATGAAATTTAAACCAGAAGTCCCACTATCTGTCCAAACAGCCACCACTTCATAGAGTTTCTATGACATGAATTAGCAATGTTTTACATGTAAGAGTGTTGTTAAATGGATACTGGCCACATTTCCCACCACAACCTGATACTTACCTATGAAGACAAAGATTTGATGATGACAATACCTCAACAGCATTGAAATCGAAATTGTCTGAAAACAAGGCAAAATGATGCAATTCATCAGCACGAAAAAAAAAGAAAATTACTAGTTACTAAAGGATGATAACAGGAACCTGAAAATACCTGAAAAGGGCAACCTAGGTAAAATAGTCAATTGGTAGATAGGATCTAGAAATAATTCATCCTTAGCCAAGGCTTCTGCCAAATTGACCAAAGAGGAGCAAATTACTCAGGCTAATCCTGAAAGCCGTGACCAAGGAAACAGAAATCCACTTTAATTAGTACTCATACAGGAGCAGAAAGCTTCTAAATATATCAGAAAAATAAGATACATTGTAATATATGAATTCTCAAGATCCTGTAGGCATAAGCGTATCAACAACTCAACCCCTGCCACCTGAACTGGAATTAACTTTATTAATTTCAATAGCTACAATTATTAGTTTATCATACTTGCTTAGAAAAAAACACCAAACACTGGTTATTGAAAAGAGCACAATTTTTTTTTCTAGTTCAATAAATACATGTACCTTGCTTGTGGATATACATATAATTATGTATGCAAAAGCTTGTGGTTGCACATATGAAATTATCTTATATATCTATAGAGATTTAAATCAAGCAGTTGACATTATCTAAACTCTGGGCAGATGAATTCTTAAAGGCCCAAACTTGAAGTCATAATAACTCAAACAGATCCCAAGTTACAAGTTAATCTACTCACAAATATGAACATGAGGACAAGAGCAACCAAGTATGACGTGCGTGCCATCCACATGCTGACAAACCGAAAGTGGTCTCCAGTCACAACGTTACGTAAATAACCTGCACAATTAACACAGCAAAGAAAATGAATGACTACCAGTTTGAGTCATGCATGACTCTGGTAATGGTTGTTTTAGCTTTGTGAATAGCATTGTTCCCTGACAACAAAAGTCTAACATTTCAGAATACTTATCTCATATTAACAGTGAATGATTAGTTAAAATTAATTCATCATACAAGGAGACACGTTAATAAAGGTAACTCATAAGTTCTTTTTTGTTATTGCTGTGGTTTGCAGTTCGAAGTGAAATGTAACAAGAGTAGCCCAACTTTGGAAACATCTTTTGTGAATTGCACTTGACACTGTGCTCACATATTCACTAGGTCTCTGTTTAAGTATTGAGGTCAGAAAAATTATCAGAAGTCATACAACAATCAGTGAGAAGTCAGAAATCTAATATAGGTAAATTGGTAAATCACACACAGCACACATAGTAAATAATAGTAATAGTCCTGCATGTCTATAATAAGTGTCACCAAAAGTTAATTACCTTTGTTGTCCTCATACTCTGCCAGTCTCTTGACACTTGACATTAATACATCATCATAACCAAGGAATTCATCCAACAAGAAACGACTCAAACTGTCCCCAAAACATTCTTCCACAGCTGGGTCTGAACACATTAACAATTCATCACTGTACTGAATCTGAGAAGTACATTGGCCTAATGGTTTGAGAGGTCTGGCTAACGGACATTGAGTTATGTTCTGGGCAAGACACTTTACTCCCACAGTGCCTTCCTCCAATCAGGAGTATACATGAGTAACCGTGCATTGTTGGGGCAACCTGATAGAATGCTGTGGAGTAACCTGTGATGGACAAGCATCCCATCCAGTGTGACTAGCAATACTCTTAGTCACTTCAAACTCCAAGACCTAAGAGTTAGGCTTAAGGGGTTTTACTTTCAGAACTGAACCTAGTCTGAAAGTCAATACAGTGGTTTGAAATAGTTTATCTAATTACCAGTGGTTGTGAAATGATTAAAAAGAATCTCATGTTTCAGATCATGTGGCCAAAGTATTGACACTATTTTCTAGCAATACTTCCTCCAGAGTATGTTGATGCTCATGATTTTTACCCAGTACTAAGGAGAACTCCATAAGGATGCACTGGATAATTCTGTCCATTTCTGTAAGAATTTGCCCTGTGAAGGTTGGAATTCAACAAGAAATTTGCCAAAGTCCTGAAACTGAAATTATTGTGAACACTTATACACGTCAGCTCTTTGGTAATTAGAAAAACTGAACAGCCAAAAGCCATCAACATGTGTTACTCATTTCAACCCTTCATGGGTTTCTATTATCTTTCCTTTCTAAAAGATTATGCTACTTGTTACTTACCAAGTTCAACAAGCAGGACAGGAATACCAAGCTTCTTCCTGGATTCTGAAGACAGCCTTAGAAATCCATACTCCAAAGCATATTCTACAGCATATTCTTCTTTCTTCTCACCTACAAAAGTTTCAAAATGTGTGGTCTCAACATGTTCCTCCTACCAGGTAGGTCGCGGAAAAAAGTCAAATTTCGCCAGATTTTCAGGGACAAATCTGCGGATAAAACGGCCGATTTCACGGGAAGTTTCAAGGCCAATTTCGCTGAAAAACAATCAGTAAAAAATGTCCGATTTCACAGGAGTTTTCTAAGCAAATTTCACTGGAAAGTGATTGGTTTTGTGCTGATTTGAGGAACGTTTTTAATGAAACTAGATGCTCTTAGAGCATTTACCCAGGCTTCGTACCGCAATATGAAATCATACTTTACAAGTAAGCTTATTGAACACAATAAAAACAAACAAGAGAATCAGGATGTCAGAAACACAAGAGTCATGCTTAGATATTTACTATTCAAGTTGCTTCGTTGAATATCTTCTTTATCCAATTGCACGTTGTTTGCCTCATCTTCAAAGTTCTGTTTACATCGATTCCTGATTTTTTTTCAACATCAACCTACTACACAAAGGAAATACAGTATGTTTGATTCTTGTCAGTCTTCGTTTTTTGATTCTAGTTCTTTGTTTGGACTTTGGTACTTGCCAAGAAATGATTACTGAAGGTTGCGGTTTGCTCTATGTTTGGCCATGAGGTTATTTTTACAGAAAACATCATTTCCTCTTTTAACAACAATGCGCTCTTGAAATGCACTAATGACAAAGGTTTTTACATCATGGCTGCTGCCCAGTTTTTTTGCAACATTAATTTAAGAACGCCTGGTAGTTTTGGGATGTTGTGTACTCCTTGCAGTGATGATGTTTTAAGGTAATTTAGCAAGTTTACAGCAAGTAAGCAGCCCCAACAGCCAAGATAACTTTCAAACATGTGGTGCCAACAAGTATTCAGAAAGATTTCTAGCAGATTTCATGGGATTTCGTGTGTTTTTGTGAATTTCGCGGGATTTTGCGGATTTACTTGAAATTCGCGGCTCCGCAACCATGCAAAATATCAGAAGCCCTGTAATTAGGGGTTACATGTACATTCCTTTGGGTCAAAAGTATCGCTGATGGTTAAATCACAGTTTCAATAATATCTTAAAGTGCCTATGAAGTAAAAAATAATTGCTGCTTATTTGAAAGGCTTTTCAAAGTAAAGAAGAATGGCGTTTC